ACATCAACAAGGGATTCCAAGTGAAGAAAAACTAAAGAAAGGAAACAAAGAAAGAAAAATGCAAAGAGGTTCCAAAGGTGACAAGCAACATCATCATTGCAACCAATCCTAAAGTAGTCTTCAAGACCTTTGATTGTTTCTTCTAGGAAGGTGGTGAGTATCTTTGCATAGTAAGTGAACTTTTCTTTCTTTTTCTTCCTTTTATAAGACCACCCTTCATTATTTAATCTTTCTACCTTTCTCTTTTTTTTCCTCTACACTAACAAATTTTTCAGCCGATGCCCATAGCACTTGAAAGGTCTCGAGTTAGTTCTTTTAAGAACTTTACAAGAGAGGAACAAGTGGAAAAAGACTAACTGAGTGTGTGAGATCAGAAGGGGAATTGCAAAAGCCAATTTATATTCCCGAGTGAAAACATGAGCGTTGAGTGGAGCATCATCATTTTTTTGGAGTGATCGTGAGGATTTGTGAGTGATTATTAGTAAGGTCCTTTAATCTTATTCAACTATTAAATTTTCACTAACAATTCTCCCATCTTTCAAATGGAATACAAACAGCAAAGGAGTAATCCATTTCATACTCATTTTCATGTGAATGATAAAGTATGCCTTGTAGCCATTGATAGTGGAAGTTGTGCAAATCTTGCAAGCACATACATGGTTGAGAAGTTGGGGCTTATAACATCCAAACATCCCAGTCCATATGTTTTGTAAGGATTAAATGAAGATGAAGAGTTAGAAGTCATAGACCAAGTACTTGTGTCATTTTCAATTGGGAGATATGAAGATGAGGTCTTGTGTGATGTTGTTTCCATGAATTCAAGCCATCTTCTCCTCGGACGTCCGTGGCAGTTTGATAAACGAGCATTGTATGATGGGTTCTCCAACAAGTATTCATTCACACACCAAGGGAGAAAGATCACGTTGGTTCCAATGTGCCCAAATCAAGTCTAAGAATGCCAAGTTATCGTCAAATCACGTATAGAGGAATGGAAGAAAACTAAAGCCATGAAGAAAGTTGAAAGAGAAGTTTCACGTGAGAAACAAATAATAGTGGAGGGAGATAAGAATGAAAATGAGAAAATTGATGTGAGCAACGCTGGAGTCGAAAATGAGAAAGTTGAAAAGATTGAATTTGGGAGCAAAGGGTGAAGTGCGTGTAGAAGAGAAAATGAAAAGATTACAAGTGAGGTTTTGGTTAAAATATATGATGGAGTTGAACATGCACAAATCAAAGGAGAACATTGTGCGAAAACCAAGACATTTAGAGTTGAAAATGAGAGTGAAGATGAGTGTGTTGAAAAACATGAGCATGAAAGGAACGAATGCGAGGAGAAGGAAGTTTTGCTTTATACTAATCAATTTTTTTCTTCTATTCATTCTTTGAATTTGCAGGTCATTCCAAGGGACATTCAAGATGATTCAAGCATAATTTCTTTTGAAATTCCAAAAGATGTGTCACTTAAAATTATAAAGAACATGTTCATTAACCTTCAAAGTACATTCACCTCATACTCAAGATCTAATGAACCTTATAAAAGGGAAGATTCAATGAACCTAACCATGGAGAACATTAAGAGTCCAAACTCATTCATTCATGAATTTAATCCTTTCCTTTCCTTTGATAACTTTGTTCTATTTTTCAGATTGTTGATTCAAAAGCAAAGACTTGAACATGTAAAGCATTTTGAGCAAAGAAAACGATGAAAGATGAGAATGAAAGAATTTCCATTAAAAAGAACATCAAAGTTGTTCCCTTATGTACCAAGCATCGATTTGGGGACAAATCACCTTAAAGAATGGGGGGATGATGTGATCCTACCGACCACCAAGTTCAAACAAAACATGCTCACAACTTTCAAGTTCTTCCAAGATGATTCTAAGGGAGTCTTGCCTTATTTTTATTATTTATTTACTCATTTATGCATTACATGTCATGTGAATATGTTTATCTTATTCTTAATTTTTGCTGGAATATTATATGCTGTCATTTATATGTATAATATATGATATTCATGCATGACTTATTAATTCACATCTTTATATAACTCATTCAATGCATATGCATTCATAGTTAGCTCATTTGCATTATTAACATAGGTGGAAGCATGCATTCATAATTATCATAGCTCAATTCCTATCTAATTATTTGTTTACATACTTTGTCTAGGTTCATTGGATGCTAAGAAGACTAAAGGCAATTGAAGAGTTGGTTGGACAGTTCACGTCAGTCAGATTGATCTACATTTTTGAACATGTTCCAAGCATCTTTTGGTGATGAAGTCTTCTTAATATTTAATCCCCTATCTCGTAGCTTTCCAAATCATTTTTAATCACATTAATCCGATATTGAGAACTTGAGATATGTCTAGATTACTGAAGACAATGCAGGCTGGAAATTAATACGGGATTTGCAACCATTCATCTCCTTTAAAGGACTTATGCATGGGAGGAATTAATGAAGACATGCATGGACAAGAAAAGAATATTAAAATGAATCAGAACATTTGTGAGGAGGTGCAAGGATTCATTCAAAGGCTTTTAAATTCATCTATTCATGCAAGAAGCCAAATAGTCATGTTCACACAAGGGGGAAGAATTTCAGCCAAGATACATTCATGAACATTCATCCATAGAAGACAAATCAACAAGTTCACACAAGGTGGGATGAATTCGGCCAAAGGATGTATTCCATTAAAAGATGAATATCCATTCATCAAAATTCATTCACCTAAGCCATGCTTTGTATCTACTTAAAGTATGAACACTCATCCATGAAGGTTCACTCATTAAATGTTTTGTATTCACACCATGCACTCTTAGGCCTATAAATAGCTTTCCATTCATTTGTAAAATAAACCAATTCACTTTGTTTAATCAAATATTTGTGAGAGTTTCTCTCTTTATTTCTTAAGTGAACTTTATCGACTTATCAAGCTTATGCTTGTGGCGTCACCCCTATCTATGTCACCCTGATACTTATGGTTCCTATCTCTTTATAGATAGCGGGTCAAAGTCCTTGTTTACCATCCCTTAAAGAAGTAATATAAAGTCTGGGACTTTTTTCTTTAACATTGGTTCTTCTTTGAGTCTTCTTTGAGATACTACTTTTCATATTCATCTCCATCACCTTCATTCTATTTCCATTACCATACTTCATCATTTCCTTTAAACATATCACCAACTTATATATACTTTCCGCTGTCATATTTATCTTTCCATTTCATTACTTCCATTTAACTATTTTTTGATCTTTCTTGTTTGTGCAGGATCCTTGTTGCTTTCCTAGATCGAAACAATCAAAGGTACAACCTTAACTTCACCATCTATCCAAGTGAGGCTAGGTTGAACTGTATCAGTGATTTTGCGTGAGAAATCCATTGAAGTAATTGAAAATGAGAGTAAGAGCATTGAGAGTGAAGATGAGTGTGTTGTAAAACATGAGAGTGAGATTGAAGAGAGAATTCAAAACAAACATGAGCATGAGAGAAAAGAATGTGAGGAGAAGGAAGTTTTACTCTATACTAATCAGTCTTTTCTTCCTATTCTTTCATTTGATTTGTAGGTTATTCCAAAGGCCATACCATTGCAAATTGATGAATCACATTTGTCCTTTGAAGTTCCAAAGGTTGTAACATTTGGTATTCCAAAGCATGTGCTCTTTGACATTCGATGTACATTCATTCTACATTCAAAGTTCAAACAACCTTATGAAAGGGAAGTTTCAACGAACCAAATTTCATTCATGAACTTTAATGAATCTTGTACGTTCATTCACATTGTTAATAATGTTTCATGTTCTAACTTATTTCTTTTTTGCAGCACATTGAATCATTTACTTGCAAGTGTTCTTGATTGTGATCATCAATTCAAGGAAAAGAAGCGAGCATTATCCAACTATTCAAGATTCATAATGTGGAAGGGTACAAAGAATAAAGTTGGCGTGACTTACCTACTTGAAGGATTCAAAGAAATTCATGCATACCCTAATAGACATAATGATCTTCATTTATACTTTCTTACACCAATGTATCAATCAATGAAATAAGCCTTCGATTTGAGGACAAATCGCTCTAAAGAAGGGGGGATTGATGCGATCACGGTCGGACCTCGACGATCGATTGTGGATCTAGGAAGGAAGCAAAACAACCTGCATAAGATAAACATAAGAAACGGATAATTTACGGTGGTAAAGGTGATGGTATATGGTCGGTTTAAGAAATGGTAGCGGAAGACTCGGTTGTGGTAATAATATGGATAATGAAATATGGAATGGTAAAAACGATAGTATCTTAAACAAGACTCAAAGAAGAACCGATGTTATAGAACAACGACCCAAATTTATATTGCTTCGATAAGGGATGGTAATTCGGACTTTGACCCGCTAGTTATAAGAACTAGGAACCATAAGTATCAAGGTGATAGGAATGACGCCACAAGTAACGAATTACTTGATAAGTCGATAAAAGTCACGAAGGACTCAATTAAGAGAAAACTCTCAAATTATCATTAAAACAAAAGTCCATCCTTACAATGTAATATGAAGATTACTTATAGAACTAGAAATGCATGTATGCTAGATGAACTAATGCATGGTCGAATAATTACAATTCAAAGACATAATTTCATGCAAAATTTAGGGGTGGGTTCGGTTATAGTGGTGGACAAAGCTTAATGGCCGAATGTTCCTTTGATAGCTGGTGGAAAACAACATTACGTGGAGACAAGGGCAAGTGGAGTTGTAGAAGCTTGTCTCCTTGATTGATTTAGCACGTGCATCCTTCATTCGAGAACAAATGGAGACAAACAACTTTGTAATCACATGGGCTGTGCAGATCACTTCTTTCTCACGCATATTGGGTGTCTAGTGCCTCCTTTTCACGCACATGGGCTGTTTGCAGATCAGCAAATGGCGTGTATTACCTTTATTTTAATTTGCTTGATCCTAGTGGGAAGATTATAATAATGAAGCTGGTGGTGATCCAATTTGATGAGTTGTTCTTGTTTTCTTTAATCCTCAAAAAGCTTCCAAAACGTGTGCCCCCTTTTCTAGCTTTCATACGTGTTTTATGAGCTGGTAGGAATCTGGATAATGCTCCTTAAAACCGTCCATCATGGGCATTTTATTCATGTCCCCTTTAGTGCTTATCATGCTGCCATTTAATACTCCTTACTCCATCATCTATTAATCGTGGAAATGCTTTGACAATGCTTCTAAAATGCTGTTCAAATTGTTCCATATTCTAATACCATTATTGCCGTGTCTTGTGCCATGAAAATAAGTTAAAGAACTCCTCAAAAACCGTCCAGTATGGAGCATGAGCTTTGTGTTCCCTACAAGTGAAAATGAACTAATATTAATGTGATAGTGCTGTTATAAAACAAGAACAAATGCTGCTATGTTATGAGCTGGAATTGATTGTGAAAATAAGGCTCCAACGTGCTTCCATATTATAATAGCTTGTTGCTGATTTTTGTGCCATGGAACCAAGTTGCTTTAACACTAAACTAAATAAATAACACGTGAAAGATGCATATAAGATAATCTAATGAAGTGTACTGGACTGGGTTAATTTCCGTGTGTGTATGTGTTTACTTAGGAGCTAACATGCATGATTTAATAACTAGAAAATGCCATGAACATGTAAACAAAATTCAAGAAACTAATTGAATGCACATGAGTTAAAATAAATGATAAACATGTTGTTTTATGTTGAATGCATATTATGAATATACGTGAAACATATTGGAATGCAATGAACAATATAAACAAAATGCAATCATGTGAAAGTAAGAACATGAGTACATGAATAACACGTGAACATGCTAAGATGATACAAAACTAATATAGTAGCATGATATGCAAATGAGATAACTATGGATGCATGTGATGTTATTATAGAAACATGTTTACATGAATTCAAAACTAGTAATATGCATGACATGTATGAAATTATGAATGATATGCAAATCTTATCCTAAGATGCTAAAACAAACTTAAATACTAATATGCAATGTAATGCATAAATAAGTAAATAAGTAATAAAGCAAGGAATTACTCCCTTAGAGTAATCAAGGTAGAACATCCTTGAAGTGTTTATTTCACGGAGAAAGCCGATGCTAAACGTGCTCACATCATCCTCCCTTTCTTTTTGGCGATTTGTCCTCAAATCGAAATGATTTCTCATTGAAGACCTTCTTGATGTAGGATGGATTGAATCCTCATACCTTCCTCCAATGGTCAACCCCTTGACTTCGTATTTGGTAACTTTATATTTCCTTGAATCATCATGAGGGTGGATTGATAGCTTTTCTTTCACAACATTTATTTGCAAATTGGAGAGTGGTAATTTCTTATCAAGATTTCAAAGAAACTTATCTTCGCAACTCAATACATCAATTCCACGTTTTTGAATCGTCCCTCCAAATGGTAAATAAAAGTTAGTAGGTAAATCAATAACAAAAGGTTTGGAAAGAGCAAACCTTGGATGAAGCTTAATGATATCATTGGGTACAACTTCCTTCTTTGAAACATGACGATGCTCGATCATCAATGTGTTTGACATGTTTCTGGAGGTACTCCTCACGTCATCCTGCAACAATGAAAATTCAAGAATAGAAGAAGAATTGTTAAGGGTGTTAGTGCAAATTGAAATTTGACACTCTTTTTCTTTTGCACAAACAATTTCTTTTTCAAGCTCTTTATTTTCACTCTCGTTCTCACTTTGGACTCCAACATTTCTCTCATCAATTTTTTTATTGCTCTCAATGTCGGTTTCAACTTTTACTTCTTCTTCTTTTTTTCAAACACTTTCTTTTTGTAGTTGTTCTTGCAATTGTGTTTCTTTGACGAAATTGTCAACACACTTTTGAAGACAAGCTAGACTTTCGGGATTAAAACATGCAAAATTCCTTGGCTCTCTTCTCGTTGAAATTTTAACATTGCTTCTTGTTAGAAAATTGGAATCCTCCTGGTAAGATCTTCTGCTACAATTGCGTATAGAACTAGAACAGGATTGAGTGTCGTCTCTCCTCTTGATTTCGCCTTTGATCTTCGGCGGAGGTGTTTGTGAACAAGAACGTTTTTCGATTATACGATCCATCGTCTTTATGATTGGGTTGAGATTTTCTTTGAGCAAACTCCTCAATTCTCGACTGAAATCTTGAAATTGAGAATTTGATAAAAAATCTCGTTCGTTATCTCCTGTATAATCATTTGGTCTTGTGTACTTTCGAGACATAATGAAAAGAAATAGGTTAATAAAAATAAAAAATAAATGTCACTAACATAAAAAGAATATCACCAATACACTCCAAAGAAAACTTTGAATGTCGTTCAACACTCGTGTTTAACTCGGGATGGCTTTTTACCCTTGATGTTCACTCTTGCCTTTTACCGCTCAATTCTCTTTATGTCAAGTCCTAAAATGACTTTACTCAAAACCGTATCAAGTAGATTTTACTCGATGTGCGTCGGCTACAAAAAAGGTTAGTAGGAATGGAAAACAAAAATATACAAAGGTGTCTTAGAAATAGAAAGAAAAAAAAATGTTACTTACACACGTTACTTCACAACCTTTCTATCACCACAATCAATCAAAGGCTTTCTTTGAATGGCTCGGTGATAAACTTGTTGATGAATGCTTCGACTTTTCTTTCTTTTGCTGATTTTCGATTTTTTTCACTTGCAACTTGTAATTTTCGATTTCCTTTTCTTGCACAAGAGAGTTGCACTTTTTTTGTATTTTTTTTGTATTTTCGTTGTGCGTTGCTTCTTCCACCAAAACTCTGATTATCGCATGATACGATAATCTCGCTTGATGTATGGTGCTTCTTCCAACTAGCTCTGATACCAAATGACGCGATCACGTCGGGCCTCGACGATCGATTATGGATCTAGGAAGGAAGCGAACCAACCTGCATAAGATAAACATAAGAAACGGATAATTTACGGTGGTAAAGGTGATGGTATATGGTCGGTTTAAGAAATGGTAGCGGAAGACTCGGTTGTGGTAATAATATGGATAATGAAATATGGAATGGTAAAAACGATAGTATCTTAAACAAGACTCAAAGAAGAACCGATGTTATAGAACAACGACCCAAATTTATATTGCTTCGATAAGGGATGGTAATTCGGACTTTGACCCGCTAGTTATAAGAACTAGGAACCATAAGTATCAAGGTGATAGGAATGACGCCACAAGTAACGAATTACTTGATAAGTCGATAAAAGTCACGAATGACTCAATTAAGAGAAAACTCTCAAATTATCATTAAAACAAAAGTCCATCCTTACAATGTAATATGAAGACTACTTATAGAACTAGAAATGCATGTATGCTAGATGAACTAATGCATGGTCGAATAATTACAATTCAAAGACATAATTTCATGCATAATTTAGGGGTGGGTTCGGTTATAGTGGTGGACAAAGCTTAATGGCCGAATGTTCCTTTGATAGCTGGTGGAAAACAACATTACGTGGAGACAAGGGCAAGTGGAGTTGTAGAAGCTTGTCTCCTTGATTGATTTAGCACGTGCATCCTTCATTAGAGAACAAATGGAGACAAACAACTTTGGAATCACATGGGTTGTGCAGATCACTTCTTTCTCACACACATGGGGTGTCTAGTGCCTCCTTTTCACGCACATGGGCTGTTTGCAGATCAGCAAATGGCGTGTATTACCTTCATTTTAATTTGCTTGATCCTAGTGGGAAGATTATAATAATGAAGCTGGCGGTGATCCAATTTGATGAGTTGTTCTTGTTTTCTTTAATCCTCAAAAAGCTTCCAAAATGTGTGCCCCCTTTTCTAGCTTTCATACGTGTTTTATGAGCTGGTAGGAATCTGGATAATGCTCCTTAAAACCGTCCATCATGGGCATTTTATTCATGTCCCCTTTAGTGCTTATCATGCTGCCATTTAATACTCCTTACTCCATCATCTATTAATCGTGAAAATGCTTTGACAATGCTTCTAAAATGCTGTTCAACTTGTTCCATATTCTAATACCATTATTGCCGTGTCTTGTGCCATGAAGATATGTTAAAGAACTCCTCAAAAACCGTCCAGTATGGAGCATGAGCTTTGTGTTCCCTACAAGTGCAAATGACCTAATATTAACGTGATAGTGCTGTTATAAAACAAGAACAAATGCTGCTATGTTATGAGCTGGAATTGATTGTGAAAATAAGGCTCCAACGTGCTTCCATATTATAATAGCTTGTTGCTGATTTTTGTGCCATGGAACCAAGTTGCTTTAACACTAAACTAAATAAATAACACGTGAAAGATGCATATAAGATAATCTAATGAAGTGTACTGGACTGGGTTAATTTCCGTGTGTGTATGTGTTTACTTAGGAGCTAACATGCATGATTTAATAACTAGAAAATGCCATGAACATGTAAACAAAATTCAAGAAACTAATTGAATGCACATGAGTTAAAATAAATGATAAACATGCTGTTTTATGTTGAATGCATATTATGAATATACGTGAAACATATTGGAATGCAATGAACAATATAAACGAAATGCAATCATGTGAAAGTAAGAACATGAGTACATGAATAACACGTGAACATGCTAAGATGATACAAAACTAATATAGTAGCATGATATGCAAATGAGATAACTATGGATGCATGTGATGTTATTATAGAAACATGTTTACATGAATTCAAAACTAGTAATATGCATGACATGTATGAAATTATGAATGATATGCAAATCTTATCCTAAGATGCTAAAACAAACTTAAATACTAATATGCAATGTAATGCATAAATAAGTAAATAAGTAATAAAGTAAGGAATTACTCCCTTAGAGTAATCAAGGTAGAGCATCCTTGAAGTGTTTATTTCACGGAGAAAGCCGGTGCTAAACGTGCTCACATCAGGAATGATGAGATCATTCCAATGACCAAACTTCTTCAACACATGATCACTTCATGGACCTTCTACCTTGTTGATTCCAAGGGAGTCTTTCCTTATTTTATTATTTATTTACTCATTTATGCATTACATGTCATGCAAATATGTTTATCTTATTCTTGATTTTTTTTGAATATTATATTCTGTCATTTATATGTATAATATATGATATTCATGCATGACTTATTAATTCACATCTTTATATAACTCATTCAATGCATATGCATTCATAATTAACTCATTTGTATTATTAGCATAGGTGGAAGCATACATTCATAATTATAATAGCTCAATTCCTATCTAATTATTTGTTTACATACTTTGTCTAGGTACATTGGATGCTAAGTAGAATAAAAGGCAAATGAAGAGTTGGATGGACAGTTCACGTCAGTCAGATTGATCATCATTTTTGAACATGTTCCAAGCATATTTGGGTGCTAAAGTCTCTTAAAATTTAATCCCCTATCTCTTATCTTTCCAACGCACTTTGAATAATATAAATCCGATATTGGGATCTCAAGATATGCCCAGATTAAATAAGACAATGCAGGCTGGAAATAAGTACGCGATTTACACCAAATAAAGAGCCATGTTCACACCTGATGCATTTCCACCTTCATGAATCCATTTATGGCGTGTACAATCATACAATGAGGCTAAAGGACTTGTTCACATTCAAGGGAGATGGATGCATTATTTTCAAACTCATTCACCAAATCAAAGTACATGAAGGGAGCCTATGAGTCACGTTCACACTTGGTGCATGCATTCGAAAGGGGGCCGAACCTACAATGAAACATTCCTCCAAATTCATGCAAGGAAATGAAATAACATGTTCACATCAAGAGAGGATGAATTCGGCTTTGAAGATGTGATGTAAGGCGAATCTACACGCTTTGATGGAAGAGAGTAGATAGCCTTATTTTGTACCGATCTAGGATTGACAAGTACTGATGTCCTTGAATTTATAAGTTTGGGCTGCAAAATAAGATAAGAAAAGAATGGTTAATAATGGAATTAATAAAGGGGATAATAATATAAGTAATGAAAATAAATAATAAGAATGAAATGAAATAAAGAAATGATAGAGATGGCTGCGGAATTGATGGAAGAGATGGATGATGGTGATGATGAAATGGAAATGGTGGTGATGTTGTATCTCAAACACGCCAAAGAGGAAACTATGCTATGAAGCACAATCCCGGTCTTCACAAACTTGCTTGAGGGGTGGTGATAGTGTCTTCAACCCACTAGATATCAATCTAGGAATTTTGGAATCAAAATGGAAGGAATGACGCCACAAGTATAGGAACTATACTTGTTTAATCGATAAAGTTCACAAAGAACTTTGAAGAGAAATAACTCACAAGAGTATATTTTATATAAGAGATGAGATGAGTACAAATGAAGGCAAGCCACTCTATTTATAGGAAATGAGAGGGCTTGGCCGAATAGTTACATGATGTTTCGGCTAGAAACATGTCTTTAGGAAAATACATAATGCTTGAGATGAATGAATAAGTCCTTTGGGCTTGTGATGGTTCGGCTAACTCTTCATGAAAGGCCTTAATGATTCGGTCAAAGGGTGGAGAGACATCTCCCTTGGCCGAATGGTGCATGCTTGTTCATTTTGGCGCCAATTTCCTCTCCTTGGCTGAATAGTCATGTGCCTTATCATGTTTGGCGCCAAAGCTTCCATGTGCAAGGCATGTGGTGTGACCGAATAGGCTTGGAGCTCTATCTCAAGTCTCTTGGTGATTTAAGCTTCCAATGCTAGCAATTCCTTCACCAACGTGCTCCTTGATGAAAAGGCATCTTCATGGGCAGCATCATTCATGAAAGGTCACAATGTTTGAGAAAGGTGTCCCTTCATGTTTGAGCTGCTTATGGTGTGAATGAACTAAAGGTGAGCTGGCCATAGATGGCTTGTGACATGGTGAATGTTTGGGCAGCTCCTTGTGAAAAGGTACCTCTTGAGGTGGCAACTATTCGTGAAAAGGTACGATTTCACAAATTTTAACTTAGGACATATTTGAAGTGTCCTAAGTGGTGATGATGATGGTGCAACTCCCAAGCTGAAATAAGGTCATCTTGTAGCTCAAATCTTCAGCTCAATCTAGCTATGAGCTCACGGCCTCCAGACAACTTTTCACCAATTGTTCCTTGTGCTCTCCTAATCGATCCCATGTAAGTTTCCTTGCTGTTACATGCTCCATTTAGCTCTAATGCAGCTCCCAAGTGTTGGACGAATGTGCCTACATGCATAACATAAAGAAATAAACTAAGTATATAAGCTTATATAATGTGTATATTATAAGATTGTGACTATAGTATATGATAATAACTTGTATCTCATATATAAATGGATAACTTATTATCATAATAACTATAGGTATAATATATATATATATGAAAACAACTATCTTATAACATATGAAATAAGCATCTATAGTTATAAAGATAGAAAGTTTCTTCCCTAGAGAGGTTTGAATAGCCATGGTAAATATGATGCTGAATTGGATCACATCATCCTCCCCTTCTTTTAATCGATTTGTCCTTAAATCGAATGATCGTCTTTTCCTAGTGTCCTTCTATTCAATCTTTACAAAAAGGTTTATATCCGTTGAAAGACTGCTTTGGAAGTTCTTAACCTAAAAAGAAAGAAAACTTTCATTAGTAAAAATGTGATCAAACATAACTAAAGTTAAGAAATACTTCCTGTAAATTGTATGTTCAAAGTTCATGTCTATTGAAGTCATTTTGCTTTGAACGTTTGCGCCCTTTTGCATTCCAAAAATCATGTCCCTTTGTTCTTCAATAGATGTTTGCATTGATTTGTGAAAGATGATGACTCTTGTAATGGTGATGTTCTCATAAGTCACACCCCTTGGTTGAAAAATCGTTTCCCTTTGATTTTCATAAGGCATAACTCTTGATTCTTGAAGGATCACGTCCTTTGGATGAAGAATTACCACTCTTTGCTTTTCAAAAATTGAACCTTTTGGCTCTTGAAAGGTCACGTCCTTTAATTTCCCAAATTGATGGATTGTGTCACTTGGATCATCCATCAAATCAAAGGAAATTCCAGCATTGTCAAAATTAGAAAAATCTTCTTTGACCTTGCGCCTCGTCAGTAAACATCTTTGTAACAAGCACTTAGATGTATAAGCACTTGTTTTTGGAATGTTTTCTTCCTGGATTAACTTCGATTTTCCTTTCCTTATGGCCTCAACACTTTGTTTCATCTTGATTTGCTCAACTTGGA